TGATTTCAACCCTTGAGGCGATGTTCCGTAAGAATAACGTTCAGGCATGGCACGCCCTTTTATCCAGCATGACACGCCCTTTCGTCGGGCATCAAAGCTTTATACCCCCCTAATGAAAATGGTGAAGTTTCGCCCCTGCCACCAGTCTATATGAATTAGAACGAAAAAGGGGTTCTGGAGTATATGCAATCAAGAAATAAAAAGCCTGAATACGAACACATTAAGAGTCATCTCGATAGGAACACATATCGGCTGCTCATTGCTGACATTATTGCATGGGTAGAAGAATGACAAGATGCAAGCGACAAATGACCACAATATCGAGAACAAGGGGAATTGTTTGTCCTCAGCGGGCAAACCTACACCTAGAAGTTATTGCACAAACAGAAAATCATATCCTGGTATAAGACGTTTTTAGAGCATTTTCGTCATTTTAAGATGAATCCCAATATCAGATTGAAGAAGCATATAAGTTATATGGTTCTTGTTTTCTACATGGAATAGAGAATATTTTTGATAAAAAAGTTGTCAAGCATACCTTTTTTCCTAATTGGTGATCTTTGACGTCCAATCTGCTACTGAAAAAAATTCTCAGTTAGATTTTATAGCTGTTGCCAACAATCAGGGTGGACGAGGGGGGTCAGGAACAAATAAAACCACTAAAACTGAAGCTAGAATTTGAATGATTTGACAGAAATGCTGGTCAGCAATATAGGTTACAGAAATTAGAGGCGCGGTTGCTTCCCACGTCATTAGCAGGCTACAATATTGTCCAGAAGACAGGTCTGGGTGTAAAACACACTTTTTCAGAACCAATAAATTGATGTTAAGGCAATCGCTAGCTATTAGACCCAAGAGCAGTTGTCAGGCCAAATTTACCAGCAAAGTGAGTGTGCTATCCTATATATGCCAACAAGCTTAAAAATTCACTGTACCCCTAGATGAAAAATACTCCGTTTTTTTAGATGGGATTTGTACTGATAAGATGAAATTAAATTTCAGAGTACCTTACAGTGAATAATTTCAGAGGACCTTCACAATTTGGGGAAATGAACAAGCTCAAAGACAGAGTCCAGAAAACATTACGGTCGCACGGTCATTGACCGGAGGAAGGTTTGAGAAACAATATAAATTTGAGGATTTTGGTTTTGGTAAAGATAGAAGGTAGAAGATAGAAGGTTTTGGTAAAATAGTTGTTTAAAAATAATCGAGACAACTTATTTTGCACTGGTTTCTTTGTTGCGCTTTTAAAACACACGTTGAATCTGTCCCAGAGTCGAATGGTGAATGGTAGCACGAACAGAAGCAAAATTTCTAGGCTACGCCCTTTTACCGCCAGAATACACAACTGAAAAGAGAATAATGTTCGTGTTCCATGGTTGTGAAACTCTTCGATTTATATTTTATCATGCTTCTATTGACTTTATTATTCTAAATTTAAAAAGAAATATTATTTTTGAGCTGTAATGCGATTGGTATTCTAGCAAAATTTTATCGTATGCGATAGTTTCCATCGACCCATACACATAACTTTGTCTCGATTTACTGCGTCTGTCACTCCTCATGCCGTAGCTACTCCCTAGCCACGCCCTATCCAAGGTGATTGCTTGAATAATTGGAGAAAGATTTTCACGCGGAAAATTTAACCAGAGGAAGGTTGAGGACTTTTCTGGACTCTACTCAAAGCAACATAGTGCTTACTGATGACAGTTCTTTAGGGTCAATAATAAATTCTCTCCCCATTCCAATCTGTGCTTCATTTCATCTTCAGTTTAAGTAATCAGAAACGTTAAATAGCCTATTTCCTCGGAATAATTTCAGTCAGAGCAATGATGGTTGCCTAGAAGAGCATTTTACCTTTTCCCAATTATAAAAGTGCTAATGGAAGAAAATTTGCCAAGCCCCAAAACCTTACCTCTTCTCTTCATCATTCCGCTGATTGAAAATGACTTCACGATTCTTTATTTGCACATGATCTTAGGCCAACAAAGACATTAGGGTGTTTCTTGAATAAATACATCGTAATGCTACAGGAGACTGTGTTTTGACAATGAACAGGCTAACGTCCATTCTTTCTTTTCACCTACGAGTGAAAAATGTCAACAATGAACAGTTATTTCAACAGTGTTGAAGGTTTCAATATGACTCTTCCAAAATGTGCCAAGGGAGGCTGAGATTGCTGAGATAGATTGCTGAATAAGCATTTTGATAAATCAACTTTGAACGTGGGAAAATGTTCTAAATTGCTTTTACTGAAGTATAAGTCTTGAAAATTCACGCTCGTTTGCTCAGTAAAATGCTTCTTTAGCAGAAAATCTGTCTTTTATGGAAATTTTCATTGGAAAGTTACTTTCGATCTCCACCCAGTCCTAATGAAACCTCTAAGTCAGTGAATTTCGATATTTTAAGGACTCGTATATTTCTATTGAAATCGGTAATTTGCCGTACCACCAGTGAAAGCAGCTAGCTTAAAAACGAATAATGTATTTTCTTAGGTAGAGAAAGATATGTTAAATGTAACTTCACACATTTGTGTATGTCCACAAGACGTTTTCTGAACGCAAGTTCAAGTATCACATTAAACCTTGTCTTGATTCTCAATACAGGACACAATGTCTTCAAATATAAGTTCATATTCTCAAAAATTGAAGCAATTGTTTTTGCAATGGGGTTTTCAACCCATTCTAGTTTTGTAACAATGCTTTAAAATCAATTTTGCTATGGATCCTTGGCTATTAGAATTTGGGAAGAAAAACAGATAACAGTCGATAATCTGAACGAGTGCCACGATTCGGGCAGGACCTGTTTTGGGTCTCTTATCGAAGAAAGTTAAAAAGAAATCCAAGCAAGGCCGTCAGAAGCCAGGGTCCTCCAATAATCGACAAACTGTACTATATTTCCTTAATAACAGTGGGCAAATACAATACAATGGGCAGCCCCCCCCCTCCCCCCAGTATGAATTTCGTTCCGACGGCACAGCTAAGAATGAAGCTGAAGAGCCCATCAAAGTTATTACGATAACGAGGGGTAGATCTAAACTTTAAGCGGTGGGGACTAGTCTTTGGTTGTGAGATATTTTGGAAGGTTCTTATGGTGACCTTCCGTGGGGGTGGTCTGGGATGACAAACATCAACATAGATAAAAAACAGCTGGCTTGTGAAATCAGTTTTAAAAATGCTGGTAAAGAGGACAAACAAGCAAACTTTCCTTGTTTTCACAAAGCTAGATTAGATTTCAAGGAGTAAGATAAGATCCTTTTTAAATCAACAACACGTTGCATGCAGGCTCAAGAGTAATAAACAAGCCTCAAAGATTGAAAAATAGTGAATAGACCAAAGACGGAGTTACATTTTCCCATTTTGGTAAACACTTTCCAAAAACTATATTGTTTAGGAGAAATCTTAACCCTGAGTGAATGCAATCTGTAAGAGAAGATTTTGAAATGGGTAGAGATGTTAGAGCGAATTAAAACCAATCTCTTCGTCGTTATTGCCAGGGGCCACGCACCAGCCTTAAAGTGCAGGGGCTGAAATGGGTGTGTCTGAAAATTTGTATGACCACGCCCTCTAGAACGCCGGAAAATGTCCCTTTTAGAAAACACCTGCTTATTTCTACTGAATTTTTATAAACAGTCTGGTTCAGAGAAGATATCAATAAATTCAAAAATTGATAAAATTTGCTCGAGGGTGATAAAACACCAAGCTAACCAAGTTAAAAAATATATCATATCATTAAATAAGATAAAACACCTAGAAAATAAGCAAAAAAGGTTCCAGGCAAGAAGAACTGCTATTAAGGAGTAAACTATGCAAAGTTGCGTTAGAGTAAACCTTCTAAAGAATTTGTAGCCTATTATTGCAAAAAGTGGGGAGGGAGGGGCTTTAGCCCCTGTTAGGTCAATGGCTGCGCGGTTCCTGATTATTGCAGTCCTACTTAACTCACCATAAACCTTATAAACAAAGGATTCGTCCTAAAAAAGCATCTAATGGCTTTTCGTATCTGTGCACTACAAACCATCCTGTATATTAAGACCTTTTGCCTGTTAATCGTTTAAAACACAGATAAAATTGAGTATCTCAAATTTAAATTCAGCGACAAACAAGATAAAAAATAATGGCTTAAAAGAGTGGAGGTGTGAACATTTATCAGGGGAGAAGAGCTGGATTTAGACATGTCGGTGCATGATTTGGGCGTGGAAAGTCGGTTTATATCTGCTTGTTTTGAATGGTTTAGAGGAAGCTTGCAACGTTTCTCGTGCTCTGGGACTGAAAATTCTTTTTCTTGAGAAAGAAAATCTATAACGCTGACTGAAATACAAGTGAAGGGAATTCTTGCGGGTATACTTTTCACTTAAAGAGTGTACCTTTTACGATTCTTTATTCTCAAATGTTTTAAACCTTCTGGTTTTCGGTAGTACTTTGGTACACGCTTATTATTTTACAAGGGACCTAGCCTAGTTCTTAAAATTCCTTATTTTTGGACCTCTTTTGATCAATCTTTAGTACTAAAGTTAATTTTACTGCACATTTGGTGCTATCAAAACTGCACGTATTGCATTAGAACTCTGTATTAGCTTCGTTAGATTCTTTAAATGTGGCTAGAAATGAGAAGAGAAACTGACGTTTGGTATATCAAAAAGTTGGAATGCAATCAAAAAGAAAAATGAACATTGTTTAGGGAGAAGGGACACGGCGAATTAAAAAAACACAACGCTTATCGCTGAGTGTTCCAAAAATTGTTGGCAATGATAGTACCTTGTGTTATTTTTAACCCCAAATGAATAGAATTGGCTTGCTAATTCTTGATTTTTTGCAATGATGAAAACATTCAAAAAGGAAAAGTTCTTTAGGGGTTTTGACTTGAATTCTAATGGTTCTTTATTTTTCATGCCTTCTTCATGTAGGTTTTTTATAATAAAAGCGTGTATTTTCGCATTTACTTCATGATCAAACGAAACTAAACTTTCTTCCATATAAGGCCATTCATGTGAGGCGTCTCCTTCCTTGTATCGAACGGGGGCCTGGATACTACCAACTTTCTTATTTAGGCCCTGCAGTGGGAAGTTCCAGGAAAGTACTGAAGGCTGCTCTCTTTGCATTGGAATACAGAACATATTAACAATACTCACACCAAAAAGATGTCTGAGGGCTTCAAATTAAGTAAGTAGGCGATATGCAATCATATCTTTGGCAAATTTTCGGAGTTTGTCGGGGCTTTCCCTACCAGATTTTGCAAGGATCAGTTCTCTTCACCTGATCAGCTTACGATAGGTTCTTTTCAGATGTTTTTATGCTTAACAACCGTCCTTCGAGAGATATTTGGTATGTTTTAATGCTTTGAGATAGCTGTACAACATGATTTGTGAAGTATGATATCCTCATTTCACTCTGGAAATCTTATTTCTTGTTATAAGAAGTTTGTTTTTAGGCCATCCATAGCGAAGCCTTGCTCCGGTTTTATTGTCTTATCCCTTGATCATAAATCATTTCAGCTCTTTGTTTGGAATAATGTGCAAACATCAAGCAACGTTTTCCTTCCTGCTTTATAGTTCCACTGTAAACACATCACCTAGATATTAACCGCACTACACAAACTCTTAAATCGCTGTATATGTCAGGCATTCATTGTTACCAATTTTGCGAAAGGAACAGCCAGCTTATAAACTTGATCTTTATGATCCATTTTTGTCAAAAATTGTGAAGATTTCAACTTTTATCAAGGAAAAGCCTGAACAATTTAGAGATTCCACCATTTTAAGAGTTTCATTTCATTTTTATCACAACAATTTTCTGAAGAGGTAAAAGTAGACCACGCCCATTTTCCGTATTTAATTTTTACTTCAAATATTGATCAGTTACTAGTATACCATTTCTCATGTTAAATATTATACTTGCCAATTATTAGATAAAATCATAATGTTAAACAAATAAAATTTGTTAAATGGAGTTGGTATATTATACTTATATTTTTGAAATACAAGCTGCTTCCTGACTATCTCATTAGGTAATTCTGCTACTTTGGCTGAGAACACCTTTACCCTGCCCTCCAATGTGCCAGTTTGCAGAGTATGGCTGATTTAAAAACATATCTAATTTTAAGGTTTCACATCAGAACTACCATGTTTGCTTAATGTGTGCGCCATTGCCATGCTCTGCACATTGACCAATGTGTCTCACAAGGGCTGCTGAGCTCAAACAAGAAACATTAGGACTGTGGTTTCACCCTGGATGGTCGACAATTGGTTTAATTCTGTCACCTCAATATGTTAGGAATGTGGTGGACAAAACAAACAAAATAGATCTAGGCCACTTCCACAAAATAGAACATAACAAGTAAAGCTAACAACAACAACATTAAGCTTCTACGCCTCAATCAAACAATCTGAAAGGATTACCGTAAATTCTAAAATAACCCCCCCCCCTGCTCAAACAAACCCCCCCCCCCTCAAATAAGCTGTGGGTGGGTGGGGCTTATTCCAGGGCAGCATAATTGCAGAAGAATATCTTATTTCAAGAAAGCCCCTACAGGACAATAGCTATACAGTATTACTTTCTTTGACTGGAGACCAAAAATGTAAAAAAACGACTTTGTGATAATAAAAAAATTATAATATTTGTTAGATCTCCACACAGCACTTTGTAGCTCTTTCAATGATATCAGAAATCATCGTTGACTGTTAATCTTCCTTTGCAAAAAAGCCTTTTTGTAATTTCTCAATTTATTTCATTGAGAAAGTTGTGTCGCTTTTATCTCTAACTTTGAGGAAAATACTAAAATTTAAAAAAAAGGCCCCCCTCGAATTAGCCCCCCACCCCCCCTTGAATAAGCCCCCACCCAAAAATTCATTTTTGCAAATAAGCCCCCGGGCTTATTCAAAGATTTCCGGTACGTTAGCTACTATGCAGCGTAAATTAGTAAGCAGTGATCATCTTAAATAATTTGTAAACATTAATAATAATTTGTTAACACAATAAAGGTCAGGAATGCTGATAAATTTCCTAACTTACCACATTTTTCCAAATATTACTTCAATACTAGAAACACATGGGATACCATAAATCCTCGAATGCCCCCCCCCCTCAAAAAAGCCCCTCTCAAAAAAGCCCCCTGAATAAGCCCCCACCCTAGAACTACAATTTGTCAATTAGCCCCCCTCAAATAAGCCCCCACTGCTACCCTAAATCCTCGAATTGGCCCCCTTGATTTGTTGATTTTCGTCATCTGAGGTTTCCTTTGGTGTTTTATTGAATTGCCACAAAAATTTCATACTTTTGGTAATAACTGATTGAATGGTAATTAAGAAATTCCTACTCAAATTTACAAGGTCTTTTAATAATGTCTTCTTAATGTCTACTATAACTCTATAAACCCTCCCCCTTGAATAAGCTCCCCCCCCCTGAAATAACCCCCCACCCAAAAATATAATTAGTGCTAATTCGAGGAGTAAAGGTACTTATTAGCATGCAGAGAATCAACTCACATCTTTGCAATAAGGTTACCAACATATATGCTGTCTTTTTTCTTTCACACCATTGTAAATATATAAAAGAACAAAAGCTCTTGCTCTTTTCATAAAGCATTACAAAAAAGGATTATTCAGAGTTTTTGAAGATTTGGAAAGTTGTAAAGGAAGTTGGTAGAACCTGGAGGGAGGATAAGATCAATAGAAAATCTAATGTTCTGGGTAATGACGTCCCTTGGTAACATGCTGCTTGTTTCAGGGACATTTCTCTTCCATAGTAAAGCAAAACAAAGCTATATCTAGGACTTTTTGAAAAATTAATGAACTCTTGACTATTTGAGTTAAAACCTCAAATTATGTGTACTTAAAAAAGTAAAAAATAAATAAATATGATTTAGTGATATTTTACATATAATTGTGCTTGCATGGGTCTTGGCAGATGTGCGTCACTGCAGATTGGTTAAGATGTAGAGAAATGGCCTCTCCTTTTGACATATTTCTAAGCCAGCAGAGGGTATTATGTTAAATTGAAATCTTGATTACATCTGTTTTGAACATGTGAGAGAAGATTGGAATGTGCCCCAATACATTTATGTTTCCTACAGGGTCTTCCTTTTTTACTTATGATGTCCTAAATGATATCTATATAGAATAAAACCAAGTATTTTAATAGATTTTACATCTATTTTTCTGCTATTTGTCATTAATTGTTGGTCTTTCTTGCAGAGGCAATATTTGCGAGTGCTCCAAAAACAACAAGAGGGAAGCCTGTTGTCATCAAAGCTGATGCCAAGGGCAAGAGGTTGCTCTATACCAATGGAACAACAGTTTTCATCAGAAATCTAGATGTATGTACTTTTCTCTTTTTGATTGTAAAAATTCCTTATCAGGGGTTTCCACTTCAGTGATACTTGTCATGCAACTGCTGAATGGGGTATATGCAACTTGATGCAGATTCCCCTGGCAATGGCAATTATACAGTTAGTGTTATGGAAGTTGATTTGATTTTAACCCCTTTTTGCTGTCAAGTTTTGTCATCCAATTTCCAGGAACCAATAAAATGTCTTGTTTATAAGCTTATTGCTGTTAAAACCTCTACTTCCATTTTTGGTGCAAACCCATGTACAGCCCTTTATAAGGAACACTCTATTATTTCATGATTGTGCAAGGATGGCTCAGTGATTAAGGTATGCAAACTATAGATCCAAAAGTCTCTGGTTCAATTCCTCACTATGACCAAACTTTCACTTGGAGTGAGACGAGTCGCCAGCGATATGTAATTCCAGGGTAAGGAATCACAAGGTGTGGTCACATCAAGAAGATGGATCAGGACACTACTCAATAACAGAGCTTCTCAGTGTCCTTTAGCTACCTTCAGATGCTAGGTGGAAACAAAAACAATGCAAGTACAAACAGAGGCAACCTAAAGTAAGATCTGCTCAAATCTACTGGGGCCAAGTCCAAAATGCTGAATCAGCTATCGTTGGTCAGAAAAGTTTCCTTTGAAAACGATTTTCTCCTTCCTCAATTATCTGCTTATAATTTTCATCTCTTTATCCTACTAGCCTTTAGTGTCTTTCTTAAAAGACTGTCCTAAAAAACAAGGAATGAAGAAATTTGTTTTATTTGCCTTGTGCCCTGATGATAGGTCAGGTTACTATTTGACAAACTCTCAAAAGTAGAAATCAATCTTATGGCTGTAATGTAGCAATCACACAAATTTTTACCTAGATTTGTAGAAATGGAAACCTAGCTTTATATAAAATAACATTTACAGAAAATAACTATATATTATAAACAGAAAATAACCTCAGAGGCATGTTGCAAAGTTCAGAAAACATACCACAGCAGCCCCTGCTCGTGTGCCATGCATAGTCAATGACAGTCAATTACTCTAATGAATGAAGACGTAAATGAAGACGTGAACCTTAAATTTTATTCATATATTTATTTATTGAACTTTTTTAGAACCCATCTGAATGTGACACCTATGCAGAACACTCTAAAGAGGCATCTGTGGCAGCCTATGCACCAACTGGAAATTATATTGCTTCTGGAGGTAATGAAATTTTTTTTCTGGCCAGTCGCTTTTCATTTTGAGGGCCTCTCTAGTTAGTCTGTCAAAAGAGGCAAAGTCGATAATTTTTAATATTATAAAACACATTAACCCCAGACTAGCATATGACTGAGTTTCTTCATCCTGCATGAAAATGTCAAACTTTGTTCAAAATGATGTCCGACAATTCTTTTAATATTTGTATGGGTGCGGTCGCAAAGATAGGCTCTAGGAAAGTTGTCCCACTTTGTCCCTCAGCTCTGTAAGTATGATGTACTTCATCCTTCTTCATTTTTTCCTATTCAGCTTGATTTTTTGTTTAAGCAAAACTTCCAGCGACATCATTCCCAAAATGGTACATACTTTTAAGAATGATAAAAAAGTAGATCATAAGAAAGAAAAATAGAGCAAGTGAAACTATTTGCGATTTACTTTATCAGATTTTGGTGGAAAGATTAGAATTTGGGATGCTCTTGGCTCGGAGCATATCTTGAAGTATGAATACACCGTTCTTGGAGGAGCAATCAAAGACATTGCTTGGACTGAAGACAGTAAAAGAATAGTCGTTGGTGGCGAGGGAAGAGAAAAGTATGTCCATACTTGGAAGCTCATTATCTGCTTCCGTGTGTCTTTTTTATTATCATGTTCTTTTTCAATGTGAGTACACAAATAGTTTTCACAAGCCGAATTTGTTGGCCCCATTATCGCTACACCAACAAGCTGATTTTGGTGACCCTACCATTGCTGCACAAGTCTCCGTTGAATCTCAAAAAATAGAGCTTTCTTTGCAATAATATTTTTTATTATAGAAGGGAAAAGTTAGAAATAGTGTCAGGGATAACTTTTTGGGAATTTGACGAACATTATTCACCGAAACACAAGTTTGAAAACAATTGGTGACGCTCTCAGATCAATCGTCAAAGTATCTTTCCAGCAATATGGAATTATGGAGCCATTTTTGTAATAATGTTAAATTATTTGCCTAGCATTTTGTTGAAAATTGCATGTCGTTGTTCATGTCATCTCTTGGTAGTTATTTTCTGCTTTTTCGCTTTAGCATCCGAACCATATGTTAAATATCTCTAATCTTGTAATCAATCAAAGAGGTTTCTTTAACGGTTTCTTTATCACCATGTCTTTATGTGACTTGCCAATAACTATCTGGTTTTGGAATATCAGAAACCTAGACCCTTTTAGAATTCGTGCGATCCATACGCATTATTGATATATATATACCAACTCATCTGTTTGGATAGGATATGTTGAATCTTTAGTGAATAAGAGATATGTTCTATGTTTTTCTATTTGGTCATCCTAGATTTGCACATGCCTTTATGTGGGACACCGGTACATCAGTAGGAACCTTAACAGGAATGTCAAAATCTGTCAACAATATTGATGTAAAGCAAACTAGGCCATATCGTTGCGTAACGGCAAGTGAAGACTATTCTGTCTGCTACTTTGAAGGGCCACCATTCAAGTACAAGGATTCCAAAAAGGTAACCATTTTTGTGATTTTGATGCAGCAGTTCTTCTTGTGTCTTTAAACAAAGTTAATTATCGAATAAAGAATCATTTTGTACGTTGTTCGCTACATTAAAACCAGGAAACAGGTACTGTGATATTGCTTGCAATTGATTATCACTTAGAATCGCCTATTCAGAGTAATTGGAAGTGTTTCAAAGTCGGAGGGTCACAGGTTGGACGGGGCACCATGTCGCAGAAAAGGGGCACATTTTCATAGAGGTTTCTTCCTAGAATATGGCCTTTTTCAGATGTTAGTTGACACGTGTTTCTGGTCAATCTCTGTTTCTACAATCTCTGTTTTTACAAATATCGCTATTGTAAAATAATATGTACAATACTTTACCGAAGTTACCACTTTCCACTAAAGGGTTATTGCTCGTTATTTTCTAGGAGCATTCCAATTTTGTCAACTGTGTGCGCTATGCACCCGATGGCTCTGTTTTTGCTTCAGCTGGAGCAGATGGCAAAGTAGGTTCAACACAACTAAAATTTAGTCAACATTATAACCCTGTCATGATGCATTCCCGAAACCGGCCTGTAAGGTGCATAGTATCACAGCTGTGTGCGCTATGCACCGGATGGCTCTGTTTTTGCTTCAGCCGGAACAGATGGCAAAGGTGGCTCAATACAACTAAAATTTAGTCAACATCGTACCCCGGTCATGATGTATTTTTGAAACCGGCCTGTACGCTGCATAGTTTCAAAGCTATGGAGTGCCTGGAGGTTTTAAATGTGGATTTATTCTAAAAAGATTCTAGAAGCAAAGACAATGGAACGTTATGTGCGAAATACGCTATAACAAGATTATAATTTGTAGAACTTTGTTCATGTTAAAGAAAGACTTATCCAATTATATGTCTTTGAAAAGCCTCTTAAGGTTCAAATGATTGTTCGAAATGTTAATACACGTAAAAAATCGCATTAGATTTTAAACTAGGGGTAGAAGGCTTAATAGATTGCACGAAGCGGTTGTTCCTTTCAAGAGTTGTTGCTTTGGATGGTGTATGATATTTAATATAACGTGGCTGGTTCCAAAGGGGCTGCAATCATATGGAATGGCAACAACGAAAAGAAACTCTTTTGATATTGGATTGCTTCGAGATAACATTCATGCAAGGTCTCTAGGATCTTACATAGGGCACCATGCTTTATTGCTTTCATATCTGGTATTTCATAAAAAACTATCTCTGATAATTTGTTCTTTGGAGATAATTCTTGTTATTTTACAGCAGTTTAAAAATTTGCATTCCTAGTTGCGTGTGGGCTGCAGATTGGATATAGATAGAGATTTGTTTGTTTCAAGTATGGCTCTAAATCAATATTAGGGGTGCTTTTTTGCTTAATAAATACTGATGTTTGCAAAAAGAATAATTTGAGGATTTCAAAATGATAGACTGGTCGTTTTAATAGTGGGGGGGGGGGGGAGAGATGCTTTGTAAAGTGTTTCCCGCCAAGAGAGAAAAAACCTCATCAGCATTACCTTTTGTTCTCTAGTGCTTTGTGTATGACGGAAAGACGGGTCAATTCGTCGGGCAAATGAATGATTCAGAAGGAAGAGTCCATAAAGGTGGCGTTTATAGTGTAAGTGCATAATTTTCTGCTTACTGTCTTTAGAACTGAATCGACGAATTTCACATCAAAACCTGTTTTGCTCATGCAAAGACACTGGTTGAGATATTTCATTGCAGAATTTGGTATCAACAATGTATGTTCCTTTCGTAAATAAGTATTGTAAGTTGCAAGTGTGATACTTATATAGCTGCAGGTGCTTTAGCGCAAAATTGACGACAGTACAAAGCTTTTTATGTCCATGCATAGTCACTGGTTTAAATTCGATTGCAGTGTTTTGGTATTACCCGCTTATGTTTCTTTAGTTAGTAAATATTGCAAGTTGTAAATAAGATTCTTGTATAGGTACATGTCAAAATAAGCTGTAGATTAGATAGAGATCTATAGAAAAGGTGCATTAGTTGAAAAATGCAGGGCCCGGCTTTAAACAGTATTGCTTCACAAGGCCGATTGTCACACTTAAGTCTCTATGACACTTATCAGACAGACATTACTCGTCAGTTTATGAAGGTATAGCAAGATCTCTATGCTAAGGCATATTGTAAGTGAAACACGCTCATATGTCTCCCTTTCTGTTAAACCTTATTCTTGCAATTTAAAACTTTTGTTTCTTTTTTACTAGATGGCATTCAGCCCTGACAGCAAACAATTGCTTACAGTCTCTGCTGACAAAACTGCCAAAATCTGGAACGTTCAAAAGAGACTACTTGATGTGTAAGTATGTTTCGAAATTTTTGGATGTTCCATCTTATTCGCCCTCTCATTATTTTTTCTTGAGTCTTCTGCCATCTGCTTTGATAATCAAGGCTTAATCTTTTAAACAAGCAAAAATATTATGGCCCTAAATTTTAGGCCGAAAATCTCTCGTTAGTATAATGTTTATAGCTATGTAAAATCGCTATAAATTTCCAGAGATTACTTTCTTAGTTTTAAAAACAAATTTTATATTCAACAGGGAGTTCAATTTCCCAGACAAGTTAGATCATCAGCAACTTGGTTGCGTCTGGGCTGGTGACCATATAATAACTGTCTCACTGAATGGAAATATCAATTACTTGAACAAGGACAACCCATCAGCTCCATCCAAAGTCGTACAGGTATGTATTCGCTAGCTGCTCACTTTAGCCCCCTGTTTTAGATATTGGCAACCCACTGTTTTTTGCAACCCACCGCCTTTGGGGATCACAAGCAAAGCTACCAAACAGATGAATGTCCATCAATCACATGAGGCTGTGGGTGATCTGGGGTGGGGTGGGGTGGCTCGAGCCCCCCCCCAAAAAAAATGAAAAATCCTGTGTTTCCAATAATGTCTTGTTCCTATCGTTCTCTAGCAATGGTGCCCTTTATAATTCGATCCTTTCTACGACACTTGTTAAAATTCACAAGTATTACAAATAATGTAATTTTTAGCATTTAGGTTACTTTGCTTGGTGCATAAAATTAAGTTAAAGATAAAAAATGTTAATTTAAAACTCAGGTCACGATTTGAAAAAAAATATACATGATTTTGAAAATGTAGCCAGCTAGCTTATGACGTACAACGTCGCTGGTCGTGAGATCAATTCTTGTTCTTGTCTTTTCACTCGATCGTATCTACATTAAAATGTTTCTAATGCTAAGGATGTTTTGCTACCTAAGTCCATGACATTTTTCTGTTTCAACTGTTTGATATTATGTTTTCTTTATATCTCATTAGATTATTTTTCATTTTATTTCTTTATATTTTATTATATATTTATTAGCAGTTTTACCATTCAAATCATTTATTTGAAGATGGATATAGGGCGGGATTCAATGCATAACTGTTATCATTGCAATATCTTGGCAGTTTTACCTATTATAACGTAATCGTGCTTATTTTCTGCTCATGTTACTCCGCAGGGGCACAACAAGGCTATCATGTCAATTGCAGTTTCAGAGGACGGTGAATCGATTTTCTCTGCAAGCTACGAGGGTTTCATATGTATCCTTTCATTAGATAATTTAATTAGAACTATACTCATAGTTCTCTGGGCTCTTTGGTACAAATACTAATGCACCTATATATTTTTACTAATAATTGATTTATGCAGCTACTGTTTAAGAAAGGCGAAAACTCATCCACATGCCTCAACTCCATTAACTTCTTGTCGGATGAAACTTTTTTAGAATATACTTCAAGTAAATGCATAGCACTTTCACTAAAAATGATCAATGTAAGTAAATTGTACCAGGAAATTTTTTTTATATAAATAACGACGTGTCGAGCATAGCCCGTTATCAAGTAAAATTTAAAAGCGATGATAGAACTAAAAACGTTAAAGGAATATGGAATTCGAAAAATGGAATAAGAAAACGGATATAAGAGCATGGAAAATAAATATATAGAAAGAGCTAATAATAATATATATATAAATACATATACAAAAATACAGAATTTATGTATATGTATATATATGCACACTAATATGAAGAAAAGAAAAAACAAAGAAAAAGGAGGGGGGGGGGGTATTGAAGATACGTAAACTGTTTATTAAGTCCAGAAGGATATAAAGTTCCAAGTTTAAAAATGATTCGTTTTTCCAGTATAGTATAATATAGTATATTTATGGACACTTTCAGTAAGCCTATTCAGTTTTATATTTCGGTTATATTTTTATCTATGATTGAAAGCATGCAACTATAAAGCAATTTCTTTGTACTTCTTTGTTCAAATTTCATTATATTTGCGGCCAGGGGACCAAACTTTCTCGAGAATTAAGAGTGCGCCAAAACATGCAGTGACGTATGTTTCAAATTTATTGGCCGATCAAGGCTCTCGTTTCATTAGTCGCTTTGGCATCTGTCTACTATATTCTGCGACAATGGGGAGAATTGTCAAGTTTTGTTTTGGCAGAGCGTATTTGTGTTTTACTCGTCAGCCTTGTGATAGGTTAGTGGTCTCCGATTGATTAAAACACGAACTTATCAAACCATACTACTTTTTCTGAAGTCATTTTGGATTCCTATTTGGATATAAGTTTCTGCTTTTATTATTAACCGTTTTATACGATGACGAGTGCCTGGCGGTAAAATTTCTTTCAGTATTTAGAGAAAGGCTACCGCTTCTTCGTGCAATGTTGAACTTTTGCGGCATATTGTAGCAGCATTTATGCGCATTTCTGATAAGGGTGTTTGAGGTTTGTTTCAATTTTTGAATATCTTGGATCTTGGTCTTATCAATAAATATCAATATAATCGACATTCATGTTGGAAATTACTTGCGTAAACTGGATATTTATGATTAACTGACACCTGGCAACTGCAAATCTCAGGAATTTTGATCAAATACGAACTCGAAAATATCCAGTAAAACGTTCTGTAAATATTGTCTGCGTTAATCCCGTCTTGCTTTATGATTACTTGACTGTCTGTAAGTTCACTGGGACGCGAGGACTGGGGCTGGCACAAAGATTAGCGGCAAACCACACACAAATCAAGTCAACTCAATGGGCATTAGTGGAAATTACCTGATATCCTGTGGAATGGACGACACTGTCAGATTTGTCAATGTTCCTGGCAAAGAATTTCTGTAAGTGCCACTTCTTAATCCTTTATTTTTGATCTCGTGGGTATTTGCATACTTCGGTGTTATCTGATTAAGAGAAAATTGAATAGGTTATCAGCGCTTTACTTCAGCTCAAGGGTATGTGGACTACCCATAAATGAAACCGGCTGGGTGGTTATGTTATCATATATTTGGAGATTTTTGCTACCAATTTATTATATACTTGTTGCACTATAATCATTTTCATGAAATTTTCTAAAACTATGTAGAAATCAAAGGAAGCTAATTTTATATGAATTTAAGTTGTGATCTAAAAAGTTATTGGCTTCTATTGAACTTGGTAAAGTTTTCTTGTGGACTGAAGAGTCGTAATGGGAGGACAAAAGTTGGAAAGAGGAAGAAAAATGAGCGGGAAGAAGGAAATTTGAGGTTAAGACAACAACAGTAATTGTTCGAAAAACGAAACCCTTTAGTCCTTTGTTTCGAAACAATACCGTCTTTAACCAATCAGTGTTGCAGGGTCATTGCACATGCGCATTAATAACGGTATTCACACAACGGTTCTGCCTGTGTCAACACAATTCTTGAACTTCCTTGCAGGGCTCAGGTGATATTGCGCATGTGCAATGACCCTGAAACGGGGGCTAGTGCATGTCTGGAAGACGGGCATGATTCATCTCCCGAACAAGTAAAGAGGTACAATACGCGAAAGAATTTGCTGTTCCCCCATGCTACAACCCTCTGCAAATGATGTCGAGTTTAAGCTCCCAATTCTTCGTGGTTACTGTCGACTTCTCTCCTTTAAAAACTTGCGTGTCCTTACTTGTGTTGGGGTTGGAGGGCGGCCATTGTCGTTATTAGCACGTTACCAGTCGTGTTTGGGTGTTCAGCTCAACAAGGAAACAGTGCTTCAGGAAAAACTTAATACCGCGTGTCTTAACGTTGCGAAAGAAAAGAAGTTTTGTAGTACACGTGTGAAAGAAATCTGTAAAAAATCCAGTTCCTTAGAATAACTCAGATTTCCGTAACAGAACAGCGGTGATTATTCGAGCAAGATTATTCACAAATAAAATGTCTCCAAGTGCATTTCCAAGGATTGGTAGCGAAGTGGTTCAGTCAACAGCGATCTTAACTTCATGAATGCTTCGCTTTATTTTAATGCATAGTAATAAAGTGTGGTTGATCGCTGGCGTCTAGCAGTATTTCCGATAGGACGTACTCACAGCCAAAGAGAATCCAGGAGTTAAATATAATTGTAACGGGTAGATAAACCTTAAACTCGAGATAAACCATGAAGTTATTGAGGTATCATATAGGAAATCTTGTTCAGTTAAACAATGAAATGGTTTTTTTGGACGGGGGTACTTCAGTTTTAAAACACTTTTTATTAGGATCTCTCTTATGCGAGTAGCTAACAATGCCTTCAAACGTGAGTACGAGTTAAGTGTGTTCAAGTCCCTTAAAGAAATGCTCATTGTCTTGCTCTGCTCACGCACGTGCCACTCGAACTATGTAATTTAAATAGCACGACTTTATGTTAATTGAAAATTGGATCGTTGTTGGTCCAGTGGCTTTCTGTAATTCCTTTACAATAAAGTGAAGTAAAGCTTATTTTGAAACTATCAAATTTGTTACCTGGGTAAATTGTTTCACGAATTTAGGTTGAAATAGGAAGGAATTCAAAAGCAGTTCGTGCTGCTAGAGTTTGTTGTTTGTTTGTGATTTTGCTGTCTAATAAGAGACAGTAAAGTTTTAATGGTATGACCTATCTTCCATTTGTGACGTTGATAATTTTCTGGGAAATTTCAAGTTGCCGTGCAGCAAAACGATTAATGCTTTTGAGCGAAACCGAATAAAAGAGCCCAGTTATACTTTTGAGCCAGCTCTCGAATATTTGTTATCATTATGAGTTGGGACGTAATGGGTATCAAATCTAATGCATATTTTCCACCATATTCCAAGAATTTTCAAAAGCATACTTATAAACAAGAGGATCTCAGGGTCAATCAATACTTACTCAATGTAAGAAATTGAAGTGACTGCACCCTCTTTGAATGACATTAACGCATTCATGTCAACAAATTGCAATAGACTTACGATTTTTTCTCATTTAAGGGATGAATCCATCGGAATGGACTCACAGCCAAAGGCTTTATCTGTTGGAAAGGATGGATTAGTGGTTGTCGCTTGCATCAAGGAGGTACTTTGAACAAAATTGTTCGTTATCGTCTGTCTAAGAAACAAAACATTTTAATTTATAGTGCCCATGGTTGCTTGCAGGTTTGAAAGAAGGAAAGCGCCATGCTATTCGTTGATAGGCAGCATTTGGAATTGAAGGAAACTCAAAGAATTATTAATTCTAATTTTGCATCTATATATCAATGGTTTTTGTCATATTGCTCAGGAATTAAACGTCAATGAAAATCACAATCGGCAGTAAACAGACTTTTGATGGTACAAAAACTAAAAACTAAAGACCAAATTTTTTGAAACATGCTAAAGGTTGATCTAACTCTCCGCTGCAATTGTCCTTATGGGGGCTTGGAGTAGGATTACCGGGGGTATATGTAGACTTTTACTAGAACTGTTGAGGCAGAAGCAGCCATCTCTCATAGCAACAATTGTATAAACATGGTCAGGATATCATTCACAGTTGGATCCTTGAAAAAACCTTTTTTGGTTTCACCAAAAATAATTTTACGGAATTCATGGCCAAAAAAGTTTGTATTTTCTCAGACACATTAGTATTTGCCTTTGCGAATTTAACTCTCGTAGTTTCACGTACATTTTTCGCGATATGTTAACGACGAAATGGATGCTGTGAAATATTTCTTATGGCTCCATGCAGTTTTCCGCCTTGCGCACATGCTTGAGAAATCCTTTAGACAGGAATATACTGACTGTATAGCAAGAAAAAAGACTCGTATAATCACCATAAGTTTTGATTGTCACAATTTTACGTTACTTGATAATCTTTACTTATAGTATTTCAAACAAATCTACAACAAAGTACACACTCTTGAAATTAAGCTACCTGGCTCTGTTGATATGAATATTTCCCTGAAAGAACTCCGTGTCTATCTGAGAACTATCAAGCAACATATCCAAGTTGTTACAGAATCATACAAACTCGTAAAGCCAGTTTTTTCTTTTTTCAGATTGTTATCATTCGCAACCACAGAATCGTGCATAAAGAATCGGTTGACTATGAGCCTAGTGCCATAGCGCTCTCCCCAAGCAATACAGTAGTTGCTGTTGGCTCTTCAGGAGTGAGTATTCGATTTACATATATATACAAATATATCTAGGTCCGCCATCATACCATCGGCTCTTTCAAAGATTCAATTGCTTTAAAGATTAGCTTGATTAAGTGTCTGAGCGAAATTTTTACTACTTTAGGAACACTTTAGAAATGTTTTTTGAGAAATCTTGTTTTGCGTCGTTTAAATTTTACAGAAGCCTGCTATAGTTTAATAAAACCACTTGAAAATCAATAGAAAGTTACATGGTCTTGTAGAATTATATATTTGATGGTGGCATTGAGCGTGAACACAAGTGTTGCAACTCAAGACCATTTTTCTACTCTACACACCAAACCGTATGCAGCTCTGCCTTTACCGCATCAAGCATTATATAACTTTGAACATACCGGTAACAGACTGGACCGGTAATAGAACAGACCGGTAAACAGTATGGTGTGATATGTAGATCGCGAAAAGTAAATTGAATAGAGGATCATACAGAACAGAAGGCAGAATTTTAGACACCCAATTTCAGATAAGATTATTTCACAAGAAATAAGAAATGTCGCTAAGTCACTGGAATTCTAAGAAATGTTTGTGAGTTATTCTCTAGTTATTTGCAGCTTTTCCCATACTTTATTCACGAAGAAATAATTTTTGCCAATTCCTAATACATCTACCATTTTTGTCGCTCAATCTCTGTCTTTATTTATAGCCGAACCCGCTTATCTCTTACGATCTTGAACACGATGTATTGAAAAACAAAAAAGATAACGGTGGGAACGGGCAGATTACCAGTTTACGATTCTCGAAGGATGGTACCTATTTAGCTTCGACTGATGCTTTGAAAAGTGTACGGCTGTTCAAGCCTCATTCACAAGGTGGTTTTAGGGTAAGTGAAAATGCTCTTTCGGTCTTTGTACTTATGAACCTTCTTGAGCTTTTGCTAATAATAAACATGTTTTTGAAGTAGTAATAAAGAGGCTGCATAGATAAACAGTTTTTGATGTCTACTTTTATTGGTCTCTTTCGAATATACTGCATGTAGTTTTGATTTTATATTTCTGACTACAAAGGCGAGTAGCGCCACTTGGTATCCCAAATAATTTATCCTTTTCTTTTTATATCATTGTTCAAAGTATTTTCCGAAACTTCTTCGGGGATCTCATCATAGCACAGTCCATTATGCGCTAATAAATTTCGAGCGTAAACTCCTAAACTTCTAAAAGGTGAAGGAGAATATTTGGTCAAAAAACAGCCAATCGGGTGTGCCTCTTTTCTTATTCACTCATTTCGGTCTTAACCTTGATTCGTCGCCAAATATAATATAAAAAAGTTTTTTGTTACAACAGACTTTGGACGTCGAGTTTCATCCCTTGCTTACGTATTCTTAAAATTCTTTTCAGATATTCCATTTCTGTTGATCCTTAGTGATCTTTTTACGACCTCGCCTAATTTTCACAAATTTTTAAGCATCCCCATAGGAAACATTTGATATAAATCATGGCTAGATTTTACCACAAGTAACATCATAACCTAATACCTCGCAAAAATGCGTTGATAATCGCTGGAAACCGTTTAAATACATTTGATATGAAACAAAATTTTCTTTCATTTGTTAGAGAAAGAAAAATCGTTTTAAGGCATCTTCAAGACCTAAGAATTCTTTGAACTGATCGCAAAACCAATAGATAAACCAATCAGTTTTTCCGCGCGGTCGGTTGATTAATACACTAGCTGTGAAACAAAACGCTATCTGAGACACCAGAAGTGCCAATTCTATGAAGACTGAAGCAAAACGTAGACAAATGTTATACAAATCCTACGAAAAGCGAACATTCTTGCCTCCAACGTTTCACAAAAAGCCAACTTAGTTGCCAATAACGTTGGTGCTCGAACGTCAAGGATTGTGTATAAGGGTATATAGCATGGAGAACTTTCAACATATGTTATTTCTCCACAGGAAGTGAACTGCTGGGGTTACCATGCCGCTAGAGTGAACAATGCTGCATTCAGTCCCAATGGGCGCTTGCTAGCTACCTGCAGTGTTGATTCCTATGTCAACGTATGGGATATAGAGAAAGGATACATCATCCACAAAATGAAAGGTATTGCAATAATTTTTGTTTCTGGGGGTTTTTCTGCCTTAAGTACAGTAAAAACCTGCGTATAAGAACCTGGATTTTAAGAACCTGTTAGGGTGAAATTTCAAATTTAGGCCTCTTCCACTTAAGAGCCTTTTCAGACTAAAATATCAAGTTAGGTTCTTACCAGTGGTGCTGCTGTAAAGATTTTTTAGGTGGAAACTGTTGAATAAAGTACCATTATCTGCTCATGTCTAAAATTAACTTGGCAGATTAATTTTTCTTTGAAAGTGCAATACTGTGTCTATTGTTTTCATCATTCCTCTTGATATTCAGCATTTGCAAAGAACAAAATTTCAAATTTCATTTATTCCAAGTTTCATAAATCTAGACCTTTACTTTTAAATAACATTTAAGATATTTTGCTCTGAGTTTGTTTGAATTCACTTGAGTACCATTCATATAAGAACCTGTTTAGGCTAACTGAGAAAACCAGGTTCTTATACACGGGTTTTTACTATATATTCCTTACCTCAGGCATAAAGGTACATAGTTATCTTGTTTACAAACACTTCTCAGATTTGCAGATGCGAATGTGTTGTATGCCAACTATGACAGTTCACCTTCAAGACCATCCCAACTCTCCTTGGAAGGGCTGGTTGAAAAGAATTGGTTGAAAGTGAAAGAAACACAAAAATTCATAATGAAATTCTTATGTGTCATATCATTGCCGTTTGAACGAAATCTAGCAATTTTTGCTTTGGATGTCACAGTTCATTAATTTAGCAGAGAAAAAAGCATCGTGAAATGTCAGCACAGTGATTAAATGCAAACTGCCAGGAAAGTAGATACAAAAATATCGTAGGCAAAGCAAATCCGAATCGGTAACGTGTTTTGCTAGATGTCATATTGGCAGTTGACCGTTCCCTGACTATAGGCGACCTGTGATAGGTTTATACATTGAAAAAACTCCTTGCCGTGTATGACATGAGATTGATTGGAATACCCTATAAGGGTTCGTTAGTTCTACCAAAAGGTTTTGGTGTGAGCAATCGTCTGAGAAGACCTTTTAAGGCCAGCATCATAAGCAAACCACTGTGTGCAGATAAACTTTAAAACAGTTATAAAAATAGTTTGCGGAAGCCATAAATAATCAAATTTATTTTTAGCATTTATATTTATCCTTAGTAAGAATAATATTCATGCTGGTGCCCACTGTAGCTGTAAATTCTTTGCTCTTTCAATATAAACATCAACTACCATCAGGGTTTTTTAACTGTTTACTTTACAAAAAACAATAGGTCTGACTGAGCCTTTGCAGCTCCAAGAGTGCACAAGATCTGTCTGTTCTTTTAAGCTAGGCAGTCCTTTTATGGTGAACTGTTTATGCAAGTGGAGTTGTTTTCATGGGGTTTCCTGTAGGCTTTTATATTTGAATGTAGATTCACGTTCCTTGCCTCGGGGATTTGTCAATGTAATATATAAGCCACCTTTAGGAATAGCGCAGACCCAGTTGCCGCCATTATGAATGGGCCTCCTATCTGGAGCTTTGCCTCGCTTTTCAAATGCTATTATTCTTGTTTCAGCTATTCATGGATTGGCTGTCAACATCACATGTGTAGGCTGGCTCAATAACAATACTCTGGTAACCGCTGGTCAACAGGATTGCTCTATCAAGCTCTGGGACATCCCAATGTAAATTTCTTCTCAAAATTCGGCAACATTTAATTGCCACTTTTTACCGTAAATAGTTTTTGTGTTAATGTGATAGTGTATTGTTTCAAACTGATTTTTGTACGTTTTGGCAAAACATTCCCAATTTTCTACTTGCAAAGTGTTCACTATACTGTATCATTTCAAATTCCGTTCCAGCAAATAAGATAAAGACTGAATATTCCTAGTTTTAATTCTGTCTGCAAAATAAACTATTAATCCTGTAAACAGACCTTTTAATCTAAAGAATGGTGAGATATAAGAAAGAAAGCAGTTATAATGGAAGTTTATCTACGTTTTTGCATAAATTCACCATTTCCCTATAATCTTCCAACCACCGGTGTCCTATGTCACAGTTACTCCCGATACAAGGTTTTCCCTCATTGGGCTAGTTAGCTATTAGTTAAAAATGTAATTGAAATCCATTCTTAAAATTATTCATTTTTCCTCTACATCGAGAGATTGCTCTACACATCTTTGTAGATTTATGTTGTCTCCCCCTTAGCAGCCCTAGCGATCAAGCAATGTGCCTCCATCGAATACAAGTGCCAATCTTTCCACGTGCAAATATTAACATGATCACTTTCAGTTACCCTTGTTCGTATATATGTGCAATGTTGAGAACGCCGTTATTTTAGACATGGTTAAGAGCTATCGTTTTCAATAGCAAACTAGACCAGCACAATAGCTAGAGCACTGCTTTTATTAACATTCCTTTGATGGTTATAAAATATCGAGGACTGATTCACTTGAAATCTTCAAATTAATTATGCAGTTTTGAGATGAAGTTCCGAGCATTCCATTTATCTTGTCTTTCCGGTTTCTGGCCACGGGAATAGCTTCGTAAATGAATTTTTCGATTTGTATTTAATTGATACTCTAGCAGAGATTTTCCTTAATTTTTTTTGTTTCATTCTGTCCGGTCTTTTTCATTTCCGTATTTTTAACCTTCTTCAAAGATTATTGACAACAAATCAGAATTATTCAATAAAAGTGGACTCCAGGTTTAATTTTCCGGAATATACAAAAGTTTTTCTCGTCCAGTTTTGAACGTAGTACACCTAGTCGGATACTTCCTTACTTAGGGTCAATTAATGTTTCTGGTAAGATGCATTTCAGAAACTGCTTTGGATACGAATGAGTCACAATTTTCACAGAAGGCCTTCATACTTGACTATATTTTAAAACAGAGTGTTTACGATCCATTTGCAGAATCTAATATCCTGTTAAAAGGGTCGAGCCTTTTTTAAAGCTACTCTTATTCCTTGACGTAAGATGTTATTTTAGAAATCCTGTTTGGTGCATTTTATACGCCCAATAATCTCCTCGTAGCCGCTTGACGTCTTCTCTTCGTCATGCTTGACGTTTTACAAAAAGGAGGATTGTCAACCAAAAATAACGAGTCACTGTTTGGATTTGATTTACTATGATATTTAGTAGAACACTATTGTTAGACGTCATCTAAGATAAAGTTGGTTGAATCAGATAGAAAAATTTATAAGAATTGAAATCATCTCGGAAATCTGAGGACGAGTGTAACGTCACGTTGGACAGAAATGACGCGCGTCGTAAAAAGCCGATGAACAAAATAGCTGTCATTCAATATTCTTGTTAACAATTTGCACTTCTGTTCTGTATGTTGCTCTCAATGCCTTCTAGAAAACTCCTATCAACAGTGGTTTTCGAGGATCATTCACATGTGATAATTTATAGTCATTTGAAAACCTCTTCTTTGGTTTCAGAATACCAGGATTATCGAATGCATAGTAGGAAGGTCTATGGATAGGTATTATGCCAAGTTTTCACTGTAGAGGACAAGATCTGTTTTCTGTAAAACTGACTGTAAGGAAGAGGTGTGGTTTATAAGTCAGAGAAAGAAAACAGTATGATAACAATCCATGCTTAATCACATGGAAAATTGTCCCACAATCATGTTTCATTTTATCTTTCATTCCTTTTACAAAAGATGTAAATTCCTCCCCCCTCCCCTGCCCCCTAGAAAAATGTTGTCAATTTTGAGAAATATCGTAAAATCCTAACCTGTTTCATAGTAAACCAACATTGTTCCGTAGGGGAGAGGGGGTGATTGATTTCGACTTTGTAAACTGACGTCAGTGTTCCAAGACTTTTGGCAGGCATTGTAGTTGGAAATCTAAAAAAAATGTGAGGATTTCCTTCGATTGATGTTATCACCATAATTTTCAATTGTATGATTCTACTGTACGTGATCAGCAAGGTGTTCGCAAGAATGGTTATTCTGGAAATGACAAAATCTTTCAAGGGTGTGGCCGCAAACTCCATTACGGAAAAACTAGCAGTGGCACCGCTTTCTTGCAGATGATAAAAAACAGCATTCCAGAATTGTTTTTAATCATGATGAAATGTAGCAACAGTCTTTCTTTAGGCATTAGCCTCGACCGGGTTTACCAACTACTAGCCTCTTCTTCAGTTTCCTCAAATACTGCAACCGCCTGAGTGCTATCAAGCTTTTCCTTTCTGCTATGCTGTCAATCCATCATTTTTTCTGCCCACCGTCTTAACAAAATACCTCATTGTGATGATGCGTTTTCATTTTTCAGAATGTAGATTCAAACTCGGTGACACTGATTTCGTCACAACGGTGGCTTAGAAATATTAAAGTAGCAGAACCTATCCAATGAAAAATCAGTCACTTTCCAGATTTTGCCATTAAGATGTCAGTGCAAAAAAGCAGGATGAAAATCGAATCTGTACTTTTCAAGTCCAATTTGAAAAATTGCTTGATTTATTCGAAGAGAGAACTGTGCGTAGAATTGTGTTTTCGTGTTGAAATGAAGGAGAACGTCTTTTTCAAGGTTATAGTGAAACGGGGAATGAAAAGCAAATTTGGAATACCTACATTGTTTAATGGCGGCACTCTGAAAAAGCCCAGATTTTCACTTCGAGTCATTTGACCAAAATCATATCCCCAATGACTACATATGATATGTCACATATTATTCCATTCAACAATAATTACAAAGCAGCTGTAGCCCCTTTCCCAAAGTAAGACTATTCTTAAACTATAGTTCATATATTAATACTTGGAATGCACATCTTGTGAAGAATTAAGACGGTGAAAAAGATGTTTTGATATAGATACATGGGAAAGGGATATCTGTTAATTTTAATTACTCAAAACGATTTGTCGTATTCCAAATTCCTATAAGAGTAGTCCACATTCCCAATTCCTATAGATTCTGTCTTCTGCCACATAAATTTTAACATTTTCACCAAGAAAGGCTGAGAAATAAGAAGGGAGCTCTAAGTGATTGAATTCAAGTGTTATAATTGAAGATCTTGTCAAGATGAGCATGCACTGAAATGCAAAAAGCTACCTTTTGGGAGATCGAGATAGCTCGGAAAACTTAAACTCCAAAAATTCTTTATTCGCATTTGGAAAAATTTTGCTCAAAATTTTTATTTTTCACAATCTTTACAAAGTCTAAGTTTCTTGCAGCCCCCCCCCCCCCATAATAAGTTCACGGTTGTCATTCACTTGGCCCCTTTGCCTGCTGATAAGTAAAAAGCACTATTTCCCTCATTTAAAAATTTAATGCACCATTTGCCTTTGCTTAAAAATATAGAAGAACCGGATTATGTGAACTACGAGATTCTTAAAAAGCTAGTAGTAATGTATTCGATGGTTTATCAATTTTTACTTTAAATTTCGAACCCAGAAACATTTAATGAAAACATTACACTCTTGCCTACCTGGAATTTTTACGACTAAAGTGAGCTTCAAATGGTATAGAATATAGCTTCCTACTTGTCTATTTGAGTTTAGGCAGTGTTCATAATCAACAGGAATTTCTTCGATCACCTACTTTAGTTTTATCTGTGATTTTAAAGAAGACTGCTACTACTATTTACCTGTTAAAAGAGGTGTAGCTATTACAAAATATTTTTTCAACTGTACAAAAAAACTTTGATTCAGTGTTTAACACTTTTTTAATCAGAAAAAGCAAAATAAAAATGAAAATTAGTATAAATCGTTAGCTTTTGGAGCGATTGCTTGACAAAATTTAAGCTAGATTTCCAGACTTCTATCAATTACCTTAGAATATTGCATCTGAAACAATTGCTGGACCAGTCCTTTTATGAAGGGCCATGAAAGAAGGATACGCAATGTTAAATGCTTTCCTGGGGACTGTCTGCTCTATCTTTCTAGTAGGGCCACATTCTGTTCAATACCTTTTTGCTCCTTCATGGGGCCAACACGGGGTCCAGATAACTATACAATGAATACTAAGTGGGCATGATTTGTTTTAGTCAATATTTTCAACGGGTTTAATGGTACGAGGCAACTAAGACTTGCTACAGTTAGATTCGAGAAAATTATCTTCAAACTTAAAACTTAAAACAAAACATGTAACTAAGTTAGTGTTTGAGATAGATATCGCTATAGTTGTTGTTGTTGCATTATTCAGATAGGCTTTTTGGTGTAGTGATTTACGAAAGAATATGCAAAAGTGTGTACATCAGGTGGGAAAATTAAAATCGCTCGGCGTAGGAGTGTAAGCGTCAGGTACAGCAACATTAGCACGGTGGAATTCCAAGGCATGGCTTTATCTTTTGCGTTGTTTGTTTGCACGTTATTATAACAGGACATGTCAAACAAGAAACTGATTGATCACAAATTAGTAAATTTTGCTGCAGTTTGTTTATTTGCAATTAAGATAAATGCCATTATATCTGTAAGTTTCTAGCCGCCTGCAGAGCTAGCCCAGGACCAGCTGTCGGGCTAAGTTGATTGTGCTATCTTTCGCAAAAAACTGTGATTTCCAGCAAGCAGACAAGCACACAACACAGTCACTCACGCCCCGCTACTTCTAAATTGGTTTCCATAAATTTAATTCAACATTAAAAGCATTTATGTATTTTGATTGTAAACAGAGCCGGCCTCTTGCTATTACCGACACAGGTTTTTGTTTCTGAAAAAAGATATAATGAAACTATATGCCGAGATTGCGACGAGATAAGAGGAGAGCCTGGGTGTCCCCTGCGAAGCGTTGTAGCAGGGCATTCATCGACCGAAGCAGAGACCTTCAAGAGGTTCAGCAGGCGAGGCATCGTGCGTTTGAGGAAATCAAGGTAAGATTTGTCGGCAGTTGATTATCTGAATTTTCAAGGGGCAGTTGAGGGGTGTTTGCCTAATAAGAATGGGGTATGGTAAATAATGAGCGCAGGTGTAAATGTCACCAATTAGTAACGGAGAGGTAACAGTTGCAAAACCAGAGAGTTTAAGTGAAGTTCATTGTGAATATGTATCTAAAAGAAGTTCAAAGTGAGAATGCTGTATCTAAAAGAAGTTCAAAGTGAAAATGCTGAATTTAAAAGAAGTTCAAAGTGAGAATTTTGCAAATTCTTACAAGACTGCGTAATCAGAACATCAATTTATTTACTTCTCTACTTATTCAATCTAAAGAAAGGCGTCGAAAAGGAAGCATACAGGTCTTGAACGGGTTTGAATTTTTACTTTTAAGTCAAAATTTTCAAAGACTATCGACTGGCTTAGCACGAGACTACGCGCTTTCAAGCAATCATGAAGTCAAGCAATCATGAAGCATCATTGTTTCACTGTGTTTAAGGCTCACAGATGCAATTATATCTGATTAAATTGTTAGACTAGTTTCTACATGTAGGCCTGAAGCTGCTTCTTGAATAAAGCATTTTGCTAGTCGGTAATATACATGAATAATATAGGACGATGTGGAATCATTATCAGAAAGCCATTGGATGTTTCTTAACGAGTTTAAAGTATGCTCCTAACTCAAACAGACATAGGCCGAGAAGTCTGATATCACATAACTGAAGGACCGACTATTTCTGGGTGTGTATGGAAACAAGGCCAAACTTTACTTAAACTCCCCCAAACAATACAAAAGGTCTGGGATTTGATTTCAGTGCTAGGTTTAATAAGTAAATTCTTGAAAGCACTTTTAAATATTGATCCACGAGCTAACGATATGCAACAAAGATGTCTTTGAGCACGATGATTATGACGTCAATTTTGTTACTGGACTGTGTCTGAAAGGCGATTTTGAGAAGCCGTTGTCTTTTCATCACGCAAAGAAGGGAATGAGGGTACGAAGAAGGGGAACAGAATGACATGTTAAGGCCTTGCTACGGCTAAGAGGAAAAGAACAGGGTGTGTAGTGACATTACTTTTCAACTGGAGATGACGTAAAAGCCTACTGTTCCTCTCTTTAACTAATCAGTTGAGTTTATTTGAGAAAATAACAAAGAACAATTTATTAAACTTAAGATGTCTGGTAACGTTTTTGAAATTACCGACTTTTGGATGGCATTTTCAGACTTTATAGTTTCGATCAGAAAGTTGCTGGTGGTAGGGGTTACAAAGATTGCGAATGGAAAATTCAGTTTTGTTGCGATTTACATTTCTTCCAAAGTTTTGGGTCTCCTTTTTATTCAAAGAGCAAGTAAAATGCCCTTTAGTAAAAACTTTCCCAACAACACTTTCTAACGAGATTCTGTTAGATGACCTTTTGAAGCTTTTGAATATTCCCAAGTTGACTCTGAATGCACTTGCTAAAACTAAATTTGTGTTTCTTTACAAATTTGATATTTGAAAATAAATTTGATATTTGATAAAGAAACTGTCTTGATAAAAAAAACGTAATGGCTCAATTTAGAAACATTGTATAGACTTTCCTACCAAAAGAAAATCATTATTTAGATTCTAACACAAGGTTTATCACAAACAGCTTTCTTAAGTGCATATATCAAATTTCGTTTTTACCCACACAAATACTTATTATGGTGCGTCTATTTCGCGTTGCATGTCTGCAGATGAATAAATAGTTTCCTTGTCGCTTGATTTATCGTTGGTGGGGATGGGTCTTAAGTCATTGGTCCAGGAAATCTTCATTAAACTGAATAGCCTTTTGTACAGTTAGGAAGTCACACAATGTCCTGGAAACGACATTCCCTTTGTATGGTATGCTGAAATACGGAGCCGAAACTGCGAAAAACGGAGCAGTAGATTTGTGCCTCGTGTTTACTTCTTTGCAAAATACAGTCATATATAAGTTTTTACATACAACAAGATAAAAAAAGAATATGCAAAATTGTGCAAAACAACAACGCCATTTTTGAGCCAAGTCTTGGATTCATGAGCTATAGTAACAGAGTCACGACTAGTTTGTCGAACCTTGTCTCGAATTTTAAAAAATTATTTCAAAAGCTAAGAGCAAATGGAAGCGCAGAATTTATAAATAAAATTGACACAAAAGACAAGCATGAATTGACGACTATGTTTCAATTATAGCATAGATTCAAAGCCTTGATAGTAGTTTTGGCTGATTTGAAACTGGATTTCAGCTCTGTGATGTATTGTAATTTGTTGAGCAAAACCATTAATCTAGTCAGCCTTTTTCTAAGAGCGTTAAGTGACAACCAGTACTGTTCCAATGATAGATATTACAGCTGTGATGGCTTCCGAAAAATCCTAATTCCTCGTTTGCTATTAAGAAAAGGTCAAGCAGCTCAAGACCGCTAAACACTCGAACTTCTGTTCATGAGTATTAACATTTGGAACTAATAATAAAGTCTTCCAAAGATTGATGGTACATTCTGAGGTGCTAAGCCAACGGAGGGTATCTGGTAAGGTAGGTTGGCTGTCAACGTTGTTGTGTAATCTTAAATCCAGTGCATATTTAGAGAAAGTAGTCAATAGATAGAGAACAGGTGAAAATATTTGATGCTTCGAGAGTTTAGTATAATACAGACATGCTTAAATTTTGATCATTAGCAAGATTCTCCATCTTATGTTATGAAATTTCGCAAGTTAACATTTTAACGTCTTAAGGCTGCATTAAAGTTATGAAGAACTGACTTGAAATGTGAGTAATATTCCTTTTGCTGTTTTGAGTATTTTTTCCCAGAAGTAGAGTTATTTGGTACCAGATTGACTAGCAGCCTATTAGTGTTGCAATTTAAATCAAATGGCATTTTGTGGCATAGTATTTTCAAAGCTTTCTCTTCTTTAATAAAGAAATTGCAAAAGCCGTCGAGGTACTAAAGCAAGGCAAAGCAGTGTGTGCAAAATGTTGGCAACGCGATTGTTTTTGGTGGTGTTTGTGTGTGGATTGCTCGCAACCGAGGTGTTTGTGCCAGTCAATGCAAACCTCGCTACAGTGCAAGCATCGTGGAAGGCTTTTCTGAAACGTTTGAAACAAAAGCGAAGGTCAGCCATACAAAGTCTTGTAAGCGTCAAAAGACTTGGAAAGAGAATCATAACTGGTGGGTTGAGTTAAAAATCTCTAATCCGACAATTCTTCATCTTCCATTTCGAACAAGAATTCTTCCCTGCATGCGTCTTCTTGTTTAAGCAAGATTTTATAATTCGATTTTGAGACTATGTGTTTCAAATATATTTGTTCCTTAAGATTGAAACGTTGAACTTAAGAATAATTAAGGATGAAAAAATTAGTAAACGTACCCTAATCTAATTTACCACCATGTTGTGTGATGGAGCACAGGACTCATTCGGTCGACTTCATAAGTTATTCCATTCTCCAAGAGATATCCTACAAAAATACCCAACAAAAGGAGTTACAAGCAGAAAGTATTGACCTATTTAAAACTAGTAGAAAACATCTAAAATATCAATATTTTACAGCGTCGCACAAAAGATTTGAAAGACACATATACATTTAAAAGCTTTTTTAAAAAAAGTAACTGTATCTATATAACCTCTGGGATTGATTAAAGCCTTCAGTTATCGAAAATTTGACAATATTTCGTTATACTGTTTAATAGTAAAAGTTTCTTTAAAAATATTGAAGTCATAGCTTTAAATAAAGAAAACTTCGTTCCCCTTTTCGCTAGAAATGTAAAGTCTAGTAATGCAGGTGCAGTAGCAATATCAGCTATGCAAAGACAAGCTCCCATAACATTATTCAACATGTGAAGTATTGATACAAAGACCAAACGAGAAGTGGGTGTTGTACGAATGACAACCTTGAAGATTGAAAGTAATTTAAGCTACGACGCAAAGCCCCATCCCGTTGTCTTCCTTGTTGTTTTCTATTGCAAGGTTTGAGTCTTTTAGCTCGTTGGTTACAGTAAAGAGTGGCAGAAATTCTGATCAAGTCAGACAATCCCTTCGTAACATTGGTTTTTTGATCACCATTAATCAATTTCTATCCAAACAGGGGACCGAAGACTTGATTGTGTCAGGTACGATCATAGAGGAAGATGCACACGATATCGAATGATGTTTCTTTGGGGTTGAAGCGCCGCTGAATTTCAGTTGTAGTTGATACGTGAAAGACAAAGCAATGGGCCTAAATCATAACATCGAAAGGAGTGCCAGACTTTGTGTTGCAAAATTTAGAGTTTTATGTCTGCAAAACCTTCGCAACCGCTAATTATCAAGTTTTAAAGCGGGTAGTGTTTTAAAGTTTAGATGCAATGAGGCTTTTGCTGTTTTTGCATCTTGACACTGTTATCCATACTAACAAAAGATTAAGAAGGCAGTCTTAGAATTACATATGTGTAAGTTGCAAATCGCTGCATCAAGGTATTGCTAAGAATTATGCTATAATACGCTGGTATATGATAAGTTGGTGTTGATTTAACTACAGTCCTAAACAAATGAGACGAACAAAGACAAATGCTTCCAATTTTTGGTGTATGTAGTATATTTGTAGAGGGCGATGCGTTTCAAAGTTGTTGCATGCGCAAAAAGTAAAGCATTAACATTACTGTAAAATACAGCTTATACAATTGTGTAGTATCATTTCAATATTTGCAGAATGTAAGTAACCTTGTAGTTTAAATACTAATATTGTTTACGTTAACAATGATTTCTATATTAAGTTAAAACACTTTATTCTTCATTTGATATATTCTGAAGGAACAATACAATATTTATTGGGATGAATCTTCTCCGGAGAAAGGGTAACAGGATTAATGTAGAAATCCATTTGACATTTTAGAGTGTAAAATAGTAAGGAAATTCACTGACGTTTACGTAGATGAGAGACGAGTTAGCTTCATTATGTGCAAATGCTGATTGAGCCTTACTTACAAAGTTAATCATGAAATTTGCAAAACGGGCGACTCTTTTTGCTAAACAGGTCTATTTATAGCATAAGGTTTCAGTCATTCTTGTTTTAACATCAACAGCAAACCAGTTCTAGCCACAATTGATAAAAAACCATGCTCGTATCAGGACCACACAAGTCCTGTGGCCCGTTCGTCATGTCGGCAAAGTTAATATTTAACCACCCAGCAGTGATTTCTAAGGAACGTTTTTCCCTAGATTCTTCACTGTCATTTAATCATAGCCACAACTACAATTCAGATATACATATATAGAAGGACATGGGCACTGCCATGTTGTTTGTACCAAGGGACTTCTGAGAAGGGGTAGGGGGGGCGTTGCTAAAGAATAAGTGGTTTTAAGGGAATTGCAACATATATGGCCTACAGGTGTTTTTTATAAGAAAATACTTTATAAGAAAGTTGGGCTCGGTTCTTCAAAGAGTTAAGAAAGTTAAGGGCTGTATCTTTGAAACAAAAAAAACTTCAAAAAGTTAGATATTTAAAATTTGAACCAGACGATAAGACAGTGTAGAAATTATTTGTTTATGGCTAAAATTGCATTGTTTATTCAATTCTGTTTGTCGGGTTTTCTTTGCATGACCAATTGTTTTCTTCGATAGTTGATTTTATGACGTTGAATGTTTTCTGGAGAAAGATAGCTTATCTATAGCATCTCGTTTTCTCAATCACTAAGCATGCTCAGTAACATAAATTTTTCCAATTCTAACTTGAGAAAATGTTAAGAAAGTTTAATTTTTAATTGGGAAATAGCTAAGCAAGTCTGAAAGGTTGGGCTGAAAAAAAATTCTTGCAAAAAAACGTGTGCTTAACCAAAGTCATAAAATAAACACCACATAATAATTCACTGTTTCTATTTTCGCCAGTCGTTGATTAGGTAGCTGGTAAAGGTAAACCCTTCTTAGCTGGTTTATCTTTCATTATAATTATTCCACAAAATGGCGACTACTTGAGGCTTTTGCAGCCTCCTTTAAAAAAATTACTTAGTCATGCTATAAATCCAGTACCACAATCAAATTTATTGCTTAGAAACATCCTATTTTACAAATAGATACATTGCTAGCAAGATTTTGCAATCTTTTTAAGATACCAAACTGTCTTCTTTCACAGCCCCACAGGGGCGTCCTTTCATACTTTTTGTTGAGGGGAGGGGGAAGGGGGTGACTGCATATTTGCCCTGCAGAAAAAAATATTTGCCCTGGCAAAAGTTGGAAATGCTGGTAACTGGCCATCAGTTCCCGTAACACTAAAATACTTCTCAAGGTGAGTTGTTCCCGCTTAGGTCCTTGCTTAGTGAGTCCACAAGTTCACCGACGTGTTTGCCTAACCTTGGGGAGCGAGGCAACCCTCCATTCTGGATTCAAAGAGCATGCGCTCATTTTTTACAACACACTTTCGATATCCACACTAGTTATATTGCCTTTACACTCTCTATTTATAAGAACAATTTTATAAGAACGCGAGCTTCATAAAAGTTGAGAACATATTAAGAACAGCCTGAGGCTGAGCTACTGTAATTGAGCTACTGTAACTTTGAACAATGTTTCATCTCAAAAACGTGGAGTTTTTTGCCATTTTGGGATGCTTTTTCGGTGAATATTCAAAGATGGTGGCAAATAAGGCCTGGGCACCTCCCTAGAGTGAAAAGCTAGCAATCGCACTGCTTATACCCAATAAATTTAAGAACAAATTATGAACAATTCAGCCTCAGATTTTCGAAAAAGTTAAGAGCAACCAGCCTGAACTTCAATTTACTGACTCTTGTAACGAAGAGTGTAATGGCAAATTTTATTAACCTCCCTTAAGGCAACGCAATGGGGAAACCCTTTTTCCCAAATTATGTCAACATATTCATGACAACAATAAAACAACATATTTTGAGATTGGACGTAGTCGAATATTTTGGAAAATATTTATCGATGACATTATCTTCATCTGGCAAACACAAGCTTGAAAACCTACAGGAATTTATACAGGAATATACCCTATATCATCCACAAAAAATAGATATAAAAACCGTATTTGGTCGACGCACTTCTTAAAGTCACGCTTTTGGACACAGTCAAAGCAATTTTATACCCAAATATGCAAAGCTATTCCATCAAATTTTGACCCAAATAACCCCGTTCACAGTGTTTTAGTTTTCTGGAAAACGGCGCTTGTCTTTTCAGTATGGTTTTTAAATAAGACACAAATATCAACCAAGGGTGCAACCATAGAAATGGGTGTAACACTTAAGGTGAAAGGAAATCAGAATCAATCTAGAAATCTATTCCACCCAGCCCAAGATCACGCTGGCAATTTCTACTTTGTGTCACTGGTAGTCTGTATCATTTTACTTTTGGAGTAGACAAATTACAAGCATAACCTACTTTCTTGTCACAGTTACATAAGAAAAACATTGCCGTTGGTAGAAAACATTTGCCCTGCAAAAATCAGTTTTTCTTTGTGAAAAGGTCCTACTTTCGTGGTTGAGGGGAGGGTGAACCAACCCCCATACTCCCCTCAAGTTACGCCCCTGGCCCCAACGGCGTATTTACAAAGCTTACTTTTAGTACTGAATACAATCACTTTGTTATACTGGAAACACTCTTAAGAAAATCTGAACTGCTTTTATCTTAACTTAAATAAGCTTTTTGGCTGACACTCTTCAAAATTCAAGTCAAAGACAACATAAAATGATCGAAAAATGTCAAGGCAAAATATATGTACCCAGTTTTGGATCAAGAAAGAAAAAAATTTTTGGAACAATACCTTGTTTGGGTCATAAGAAATTAAAAAACTTTGGAAGTTGTAATATTCTTTCAAACTGTAACCTCCGGTCGTTTTAACTTCTTCCCAGAAATTTGAAAGTCTCTCTGTGTTATCATAAAAAATTTCGCACACAAAGGGGGAAAATTATTGATGCTTCAGCTTTTTTATCATAAACACATATTGGCCTCTTGAGATAATTTCTGGAGCATTCTTTACTTGTGACTAAAAGAATCCTGATTGATGCTTTGAACAGCGACTGGGGTTGTAAATTTGGTGATATCAGCTTTTTTTACTTAATAGACTTTTTGTACCAAAAATAGGTTATAAAAGTTGAGGGTTCCCGTGTACAAGGATCCAGCTTATAAACATAGGTTATATTTTGCAGAAATCTTAATGATTCTTATATTTCCCATATTTCATGAAAAATCTTATTAAACTAATAACACTGTGAGACCTGATTAGAATTTCTGGACATCTTTATGCATACTCTCTATAGCATATATTTCGATATGACATTTTGCAAAATTTTAGATGTGCTCAGATGCTGAATCTGTTGAAAGAACGGTTTGTAAATAACTTTCTATTGACTGAAGCGAATGGAGTTCGTTAGTATTAAACTTGTAAACCTTAAATTGAATTTATCAAGTATAAGCCATAAAATATTATGTAAAATGTTTTATATTTTATTTTTAACATGATGAAATATTGACTTCTCTAAATTGTATTGAATAAGATGCATACTTCTTTGAGTTTAATTAACTTTTTGTAATGCTAAAAATACCATTAATCGATCAACAAAACATTTTACTTATGCAAAAAGACTAGCATTCAGTATTCAAAAGTGAATTTAAAGACCTTCTATACTGTTTTTTGGAGGCATCATTGCATCTAAACACCTTTGAAATGCGTGCATGTCAACTGATAAACTTCATAAAGTTTGTGTCAGATTTCTACAGGTTTGCATAGAATGTCAATCAAACCAACCTTTACAAGATTTTTTGTTCAAAAAATTATTCTTAAACTATTATCAAAAATTATTAAAAAAATCCAATTAAACTTTCACAAGAAATTTTTTTAATATTGGAATTTCGTAAATCATTTGGGAAAATTTGGGAAAAGGCGTTTATAAGTGCGTTTTTAGGCAAATACTTGCTAGTTTGGTAAATACCTATATTTTGGAACACAATATCTGACTTTTCAAGACTCAGGGCCACAACAAGACTGGTTGTAATGCTTTTTAATGTCCTCCTAGAGACAACGGTTGCATTCCACCACCCCAGTATTCACATATATATTGCATGTGACATGCTCAACCCCATGATCATGTGATACTAGAGCTGCAGGAAAGGCATACATTTTCTACATCATGAAAGGTACCAAGCCTGTTCTTCACTTTGACAAATCTATTTGCTTCTGTGAATACTAAAAAAACTTTATTTGGTGGGTTTGGAATAGCAAGATACCCGAAGATACCAGGATAACCAGAATCTTCAAAAACCACAAAATGACTTACAAAGAAATATCTAAGTAGCATTTAGGCGATAAGAACCTTTTAAATTCAGAGTGAAACTCTTCAATTCTTAACGTGACAAATCGTTAGCGTTTTGACAGCATCTTTGAGAATGATTTTGGGATTAAACAATTTTTTGGTGTTTAGACCTTACTGTCATCAACCATTTAACTTTTTCTACTTAAACTCACCGATCGAAGAGGTTTTAGCTCATAAATTGGTTTGATAACAGTGCACAAGGGCACATAAATCTTATGGTGTAAAGAATGAATTTGACATCACCGGGTCAAGCCTGATCGCAGAGTCTTGCTCAAAATTATTGTAAGTCCATTGTCAATATTCATAGCGCATTCAAACTTATTTTGAATAAAAACCTGTATCTTCTATCGTGATATTCTTTATTTTAGCTAATGGGTATGTTTTGATGTGTAAAACAGGACTATAACAACACGCATAGACAATTTATGGCCATGAACATTTGCTTACACCCTCTTCAGATATCCACTCTACAGCTTATCAAGGATATGAAGAAAATTGAGACGTGTATGTAGAGTAAAAGACATTCCATTAGTTAATTAAACGAAAACTTTTTCGATTTAAGTTAACATTTTTGCTTCACAAACCCGTTATCTGGAGAAAATTATTTCAGCTCTTCTAAATAACGCAGTGTGTTTTGAAATGTGAGTATCGAATGGCCTCCTTTTTCTCACCTCGACAGCGTGGTCTAATTATCAGAGTATTCGAAAAATATGCTAATAACAAAAAAGAGCAGACTCTCTAATAGAAGAAAATGACAATTAGCAGTGCTATACATGCACATAAGAATGATAGCAAGAAATTTAATTGCAACACATTAGGCCTTGATGTATTACACGTATCTTTTGCTTACTATGACTTCTCAACTACAGGTGTTATGAGTTGGCAGATAAACAATATTACTAACAATGCAAGTGGATACTTTGTCGATTCCACAACGTGGTCGGGTTTTTTCAGAATCTTAACTTTCAATTTACACTACTATAAGACCACT